TCACTTAACGAATGTCTTACTTAACAACAGAAATTTTGGACTGTTATGGTTGTAAATCGAGGACTACCTGTATTCACCCTTTATATAGCTTATTCACAGTAGGTATTACATATTGTTTCTATTAAAAACCCATTTCCCTCTACTTTTTTGGTTTACACTCCTTTTCAGTCTAGTTATCCATTAGCACCCACCATCTTGCTCTTCCCCACTTCTATGCAACTCAGCACATAAACAATTTATCCACTTATCTTTTATTGAAAGGGATAATACAGCTTCTTCCTGGTTTTCTTACCTTCATTTTTTGTAGTTCGGGATTAACCTTTTCTAATGAGTACATTCTTTGTATTCAGCTTCTCCCTAAAAGGTGTCTGTGTTTGTACACACACACACACACACACACACACACACACAAACAATACTCACTTTCATTTATCATTTTGTCATTATAAATTTTTAAAAGCCATAAACAAATCTTTCTTCCATGAGTTAACCAAGTCAAATCACTCTTCTTTTTGAAATAAATAGCAATGCTTTCATATTCAATTATGTTTCTTTTCTCCGGTTCATGTGGGCTAAATTTATGTATTTATTAAGTACAAAGTGATTTACTTGATTGCCTTAGGTCACCAGTGAAAACATTTCAATACCGTTTAAGTTGTTTAGAGTAGACTGCAATATATCTACCATCTGTAATTCTGAAGTTTAGAATAAGGGTAACGAAATTAAGTATTAGAAGAAATGTTTTCCAAAATTTCCCCAGAAGAAACTCTGAATACTTTGCAACAGAGATAAGATGTAGAACCATAAAGCTATTAAAACTAATTGTTCTCCTTCCATAAGAAATGATGAGAATGTAATAACTAGCTCCAGTTTAGAAAAAATACTTTCCAGCGATTCACTTCACTATTTGGGTGAACTGCAATTTTTGGTATATCTCTAGCAATGGATATTAAAAGAAGTATAATGCCAAATAGTCCATAAAGGAATAAAAACCAACAGAAACCAAATATGAAACTAGAGAGTGATGTGAATGAGTGCAGCTGTTGATTGCAATCCCAAATTAAGTGTTTGTCTATAGCAGGGGTAGGCAACCTTGGCTCTTTTATGACTCGTGGACTTCAACTCCCAGAATTCCTGAGCCAGCTATGCTGGCTCAGGAATTCTGGAAGTTGAAGTCCACGAGTCATAAAAGAGCCAAGGTTGCCTGCCCCTGGTCTATAGTATTAAAATGTAGCTGTTCTGACTTTTTGTCCTTCTGCTTCAAATTAAAATGTGGCTAAATGTCCACTAAAGGGAAAATCCACGTCTTTTTTTTCTTGGAGTTAGTTACAAGCTGCAGATTCCCAAGAAACACCCAATGACATTTATACCTGAGGAAAATACAGTTACCCTGGCTCTTTCTTGCTCCACGGATGACAGCCATCAACGGGACACAAGTGAAAGGTGCTATCACTGCTATGCCATCCTAGGTCAAACACAGCTATGTAAGTGTAAGTGTATTAAATAAGTCAGACCTAAGTATTCACAACAGAGCCAATAGGTAGGAGAATGATCAAAATCTGGTTCCTAATTCAGTGATCACACTGCATCATTCTTGTTTCAGGTAGCCACTTAGGCAAACACAGAAGACCGCCATATATAGCTTGTCCTCAATTTATAACCGCAATCGAGTCCTAAATTTCTGTTACTAAGCAAAGCAACTGAGTTTTATCCCATTTTACAACCTTTTTTTGCCACAGTTGTTCAGCGAGTATCTGCGGTTGTTAAATGAATCACACGGCCATTAAGTGAATCTGGTTTGGCTTTGCTTGTCAGAAGCTGGCTGGAAAGTTTACAAATGGTGAACATGTGACCCTGGGACAATGCAACAGTCATAGATACATGCCAAATTTTGATCATGAGGATATTGCAACATCCATAAGTGTGAAAATGGATCATAATAAGCCACTTTTTTCAGCGCTACTGTTAACTTCAAACGGTCACTAAATGAATAGTCGTAAGTCAAGAACATCCTGTACTGCAAACGTCTCTTTGTGTGTGTGTGTGTGTGTGTGTGTACACAGTACACATATGCATATACATTTAGAGGGTGTTCCAAAAGTCAATCCCGCAGATAATTTATTATATAAATTATATTAAATGTTCAAATTGTTTTTTCCTCTAAACACCTCTTATTCATTTGACACATGGCCTTCAAACATTCCTAACAATGGTAACATTTTCTCTGAAAAAACGAAATAAAATTGATAAGCCCTATTGTGATCGGCCTATGGAGCTGACTTTTAATACACCCTGTATGTGTACAAATCTTTATGCCAGATCAAAACTACATGTGATAACACTTTACCTTAACAAAGCCTAAAGATGCCAAAGAAGATTGCTGCTCAAGCAGGCTTTTTCCAAAATCAACAGCTAATACTCTATATTTTAATATTTTACATCCATGATAATTGCTACCCTGCTCTCAGCCAGTCTTCACTGGAAATTTCTTGTTTTGTCTCCTTGTCTAGAACAAAGGTGGCCATGAATATCTGCATCCTTATGGTTACACATATAGTATAACTACTATAAAGGGGGAAAAACCCACATACTTAGTCAGTTTATGCTTTCCCAAAATAGTTCTTTTAAGTAGTTCTATTACAAAAATAGGGACTCATTTAAAACAATGGTTGAATCAAAGCCATTTATTTATTTGGTGAGTGGCCATAGATCGAAACAATAAAAAACACACCAATAGGCCAGTGAGCATAATTTATTACAAAATATGTCAGCTTGGTATCAATTCTTCATATTAAGTAGCTTTATAACTGTAAGATCCCTTTTCAAGGTCAGACAGGCAAAGACAGAAAGAGCAAACATCCTACACATCAGGCTCTTTGAACAGCCTGCTTTTTGACAAAAGACATAGAATTTATTATGCTTGCCAGGATCCCACGTTCTGAGCTGAGAAAACTGGATGGCAATGCCTCTCCTGGCCGTTTCTGACCAGTTCTGAAAGACTTAGCAATGAAAAACATATCACTGAAACCAGCACAAGCAACTTGATGCCATGGCATTTCCTCATAACAACCCAACCTAAGCAGGTAAAACTGCATGTAGTTCCTTCATAACTCCTTTGAGCAGCAGTTTTGCGGGTGGAAAAATATCCTTTAGTACAAGGGTGGGGAACTCTGGCCCTTTTATGACCTGTGCACTTCAACTCCCAGAATTCCTGAGCCAGCATGGCTAGCTCAGGAATTCTGGGAGTTGATGTCAAGTCATAAAGGAGTCATAGCTCCCCACCTCTAGTCTAGTATAAAAAACATCTGTTTCATGGTACCATATTTTCCGGCGTATAAGACGACTTTCTAAAGCATGCAAATCGGCACCGAAGTCGGGGGTCACCTTATACACCGAGTCGTCTTATACATTGGAAATTACGGTAGTTTCTGGTGTATAAGATGACTTTCTAGGCATGCAAATCGGCGCCAAAGTTGGGGGTCATCTTATATGACGAGTCGTCCTATACGCCGGAAAATACGGTACATTAGTTTTTTTTTCTTTTTCTCTTTTTTAATTCCTATGTTATATAGCAATGTTTCTCAACCTTGGCAACTTTAGGATAGGTGGATCCTAAAGTTAAAATGGGTGGCAACCTTAAGCTTGACTGGCTGGGGAATTCTGGGAGCTGAAGTCCACCCATGTTAAAGTTGGCGAGGTTGAGAAACATTGTTATAGAGGGAAGAGAATCCAGAAGCCGCTAAAAAGAATTTTCACCATCTCTAACTATAATTTAAGTACTTCTAGAACAGTGATGGCGAACCTTTTAGAGACTGAGTGCCCAAACTGCAACCCAAAACCCACTTATGCATTGTCGAGTGCCGGGTGGGTGTGGCCAATTGGGTGGGCATGGCCAATTGGGTGGGCGTGGCTGCGGTAGTAATGGCAGATTGGGTGGGACTAAAAAGTTCAATCAATCAATTCCAATTTTGCAAGATCTTTTTTTTCCCCACAAGAAGTTGAAATTGACTGATTGATTGAACCTTTTTTTTTTTTTTTTGCACATGGTGGCAGAGGCCTAAAACGAAAAAGTTTTATAAAACCCAGCTGAAGGCCTAGGACTGGGGTGACGGCATGCGTGCCCACAGAGAGGGCTCTAAGTGCCGCCTCTGGCACCCGTGCCATAGGTTCGCCACCACTGTTCTAGAAGATCGCAAGTGACTTCTCTCTGTTCTGTTGGTCATTCATGGCCTTTTGTACTTAATTCAACAGCTGAAATTTGGAAGATCCAATGATTATAAAACAAGATACAAAGAAGCAGTTTTTGATTTCACAATGATATTCATGGAAGTCAAGAACCAGACACTAATTGGTAGCCTGTAGTTGCTACTTTAGGTACAGATTATGTACATTCAATGTGTAGATTATCAAATAGGCAATGCATTAGAGGTCTCCAGATGCCACAAGAGGTCCAGACACTGACAAACTGGTGTGAATGTTTATGAGGTCATAGTTGGCTTTTAAACAGAATGGATAGTTTTCTGGCAATTTTCACTTGACTCAGGAAGACTATTCCTGCCTCTCCAAATGACAATTGGTTATATTTCCTGTAGATTATCAAGCCTGGTGGAACTTTGAGAGATGGACAAGCCTCATAATTCAGGCTGGCCATGAAGAGTACAGATCTTTTTAAGAATTGGAGGCATATTCAAAAGACTGGTGAGTCACCAATATTTTGCAGTATACAATCTAGAGCTAGTCAAAACAAAGAAAATGGCTGGGATCCATAAACACAGGCAAGGCAGGCAGTGTTATATTTATTTCAAAATCTAGGGTATCAATAAGAGGGCTGGATTATTCAAGACTCATTTAATTTAGCCAATCCCATTGATTCTCAGTAAAAATTCATTGGCCTCTGCCATCTATTACAAAACTTGCTACAGTTAGTTTAGATTACCAAATACATCAGCAATCTACTGGTTTCTACTTTTGACTTTTGATTTTATTTCCAAAATGGGAGACCAACAAATATTTGTTCTTTTCAACTTTCTAGCAAAATTTTGTTACAGGCTAATGCTACTGCAGGTTTTTTTTTTTCCACACACGATCTGAAGCCTGGTATAGACATAGCCTAAACAAAACCCACATTTTATATACCCTGAATATTCTTTTTTGGATTTTTAATCATGAACAATTCTTGGAAACTCAAAAATTTGCAAACTATTTTCTGTACGTTGAAGATTGCTTTAATATGGCAAGTGAATTTTCAGGTGCATTTTTATGTGTTTCAGTTATCATCTTCTATCAAAGGAAATATTTTTGCCTAGTTGGCATCCTTAGAGTTTTTCATGTTGTTTGCTTCAGTTAGCTCTTGGAATCTGGAGTTGTTTTTTCTTCAGTTATGGGGGGACAATTAGGATTGTCCTGTCCCCGTATTGCCAAGAATGAATATCTCAGGCCTCCTGCCATGCTAGAGGAGGAAAGAAAAGAATAGACATAATAATAAAACCATGAACTTCCTTGAGACTATGACATCCTTTCAAAATTCGCTTACCTGATATTGAGTCCAATGAAGTTCAACATATTAAATATGTAATCTCCACCAAATAGCATGCCAATATAAGCAACAGACACATTCTATAAAGAAAAAGCAGTGTATGTAAATACTACAAATGTCCACTACGATAAGCTATAAAGCATGGTTAGCATGAACTGACTCCTTTCTCTTAAAGGGCTTCACTACTTAATTCCTCATTTTTTTATTGTTCATGTCTGAACCTAGAATACTTCCTATTGGCATCTATATTTAAACACAAAACATAGCTATGGCTTGTTTATGCCATCTTTCAGCAATGCTTTGCTGTAGCTGAAAGCAGAATATACTGCATCTGGATAACACACTTGTAAACAAGTAACAGATACAGTAGCTGAATTGGTAGGAAAATGGGAATTAGATACATTGCTACCAACCAAGCCATACCATTTCGTGCAAATCTTATCTCAAATATAAGGTAAGAACTATGAAGAAAGAGTCCTGATCTTGCATACTTCATGGGGAGTAGAAGATGAAAGATATACCATGCTGTTCTGTCCTAAGCCCTCTTCAGTCATTTATCTGAACATCTGAGAACTTGAAAGTAAGTAAGAAAGTAAGTGGAGAACAGGACTATGCTGGAAACCTAACCCCTGGATATTGAGCCAAGAGGCTCATATTTCTTTGAATGCCAATATATCTCACTGTTTGGTCTGCTACCTGGATCCATACTGTCCTCTATCTATTTTCAAACCCTTATGTCTTGATGTGGGACCCGATCTCTACTTGATACATCACTTGGTAAAAATGACTCTACAAATAACATTGGGCTGAATATAATTGGATAAATTATTCCTGGCCTTTTTAGAAACCTAAAGATCATCACATTTTTATATGTTCCCACTACACATGTAAGAAAATGTTTTACAAAAAGTGCTACCAAGACATTCATATACATAGTCATAGGTCAAAACTGTACTCAAGACACAGGACTGTCTTTTGCAGGTGGTTTTAACAGTACTGGGTTCACACATTACATGTGTACTTCTTAACTATGGATTATAGGTTAAAATTCTTAGCAACCTAGTTCAGACCTAGTGGCAAATTATAAACCATGCTATGCAACCTATAATAACTGGATTCATATATTATACTAAAGTCAAAATAAACAATCCATATTGACAGTGTAGTGCATGTGTCCAACTTGCCACGTCACGTGACATTTTTTGCATTGCTAGAGCTGGGGTGGGCACGGTCTCCATGCTGGCAGTTTGACACCCCTGGTGTGTAATGTGTATATTCAGCTACTATAACCAAATATCAACTCCTTTTGGTTACTTACTTTTATAGCACCAACTACTGCAGTTGTTAGAGCAGAATTATAATGGCTGCAGAGAACTGTAGAATACATCAGAAGAAACCTAGCATTAAAAACAAAAAAGGACTATGTAACTTGGTTTTCTGCTTTTTGTCAAATAAACAACTGATATATGCCATAATTCTATATTGACATTCACTACCCTATTTTATGTTGCGTTTCAGTATTTAAAATAGCCTAAACATAATCTAAAACCTGCTGCATTTGAAGATCTGATACAAAATTAGGCAAACTAAAACTGAGCTTCTACTGACTCCATCATTTTTATACAGCACCAAGTATCCTCTGGAAACTATCACCTGATTTGCAGGATTTAAAATGTGCTACACCAGGGGTCTTCAGACTTGGCCTTTTTATGATTTGTGGACTTCAACTCCCAGAATTCCTCAGCCAGAGTGCCTGGCTGAGAAATTCTGGGAGTTGAAGTCCACAAATCATAAAAGGGCCAAGTTTGAAGACCCTTGTGCTACACTATCAAGGGATTCCTGTTCTAATTTCATTGATGTGGCCAATGAAAATGTCCCAAAGCAAGCTACACTGAAAAAGAATCAGAGAGCATGTGGAAATTATTTTTGCTCTTTAATAAAAAGAGATAGTTCTTAAAATGTTGTGCAGCAGGATACAAAAGCTATACTATGAGAACAGAGCATGAATCATTGAGATCTTTCTCTTTTTAGCTTATCTTACTCTGCTAATTATGCAGAAGGATTTCCAAGATGCAAAGTTATGCCAGTCATTACTTGATTATTTGCCCAAGATCGTCTTACCCCAACACACAAGAAAGAAGAAACTGAAAGATAAATAAAGCGTTTGTCCACTGCTGGAAATCCGTGGCCTGTAAAAATAAAAAAAGATAAGATTTTTGATATATTTAGAGAGAGAAAAATTACCAATTATTTACTGAAAAATCCAATTCACAAAAATAATTGAATCTGAGAAAAAAAAATCTGCTTGATCTTTAGAAATCATACCAAGTGTTGTTCTGCTGACTTCCAACAGGCGGCACATCTTCATATTACAGATTTCCTTTTTCTTGTAAATCACTAATTATTGATTTTGGGTCTCTCTCTCTCTCTCTCTGAATTGCCAAGATGCGTGCCTGCAGATTCCCACAGACTTCACAAGTAGCCATTAAGCGCACATGGGATTGGAGGGTTTAGGTCAGGGGTCTTCAAACTTGGTCCTTTTATGACTTGTGGACTTCAACTCCCAGAATTCCTCAGCCAGGAATGCTGGCTGAGGAATTCTGGGAGTTGAAGTCCACAAGTCATAAAAGGGCCAAGTTTGAAGACCCCTGGTTTAGGTAATGTCCAAAGATGTTAGTTTAGCTAAGAAAAAGAATCTTCCTTCCAAGAGCTCTCATGCAGTTCCTTCCTCCCATTCCCAAACAATTGGTAGCCATTTAATAGTAGCCATGTAATCGCAGAATGAGCCAGTTTGCTGTAGTGTTAAGATATCAGGCTAGAAACCAGGAGATTGTGAGTTCTAGTTCCACCTTGCACCAGTCACTTTCTATCAGCCTCAGGGAGAAGCAATGGCATACCACTTCAGAAAAACCTTACCAAGGACAATGCAGGGATATGCGTCTAGGCAATCGCTGACTATCAGACACAAATGAACAGAAGAAAAAAAAATGTTGGAATGAAGGTTCCAAGAGAAATATAGTTCTTCTCGGTCAGCACCAAATATCAGTCAAGATAACTTGAAAGGATGGATGGATAAAGTTTATGGAAGACTAATATTTCCCCTTAATCTTCTGTTCTATTCCTAACTCGCCAAAACGAGATTTCATATCTTATACTAAACCACTACTTATAATGTTATAAAATCAATCGCCTCTTAGAGGACAAAATCCTACATTTTTACTTTATACGCAAAAGGATCCCAAACACCTATCATTCCAGAAATATAAATTTAGAACCCAAGCCAATTAAAGCATTATTGTACTCGATTCGTTCCTAAGCTCTATTTACCTGCTGGAAATCTCCAGTGAAAAAACTGATGAGAACTGTAGGAATTATCATAAAGTAGGCATTATAAAAAATTACTCCATATCTTCCCAGTTCCTGTATAAACAAATACATACGTTAAAAGAAATCTGATAGCTGATTACTTAAGAGTTCCTGAAGGATTCAGGACTGAGATATCTATGGTAACGTATGTAGAACCCAGTAAATTAAATGAATCATGAAGACTCTGTTTGAAAGGCATGTAAGCTTGGATAATATAAATTGTTTATCAAATAAGATTCTATGTGGAAAAATGTTAGGGGGAATAATTAGATGATAATGACTGAACTAATTATCCTTAACTAAAACAGAACAAAGAGCCAATAGCATGGATCTTTCCATATAAATGTCTACTCTGGTGGAAGCAATATGTATGATTAGAAGTATGAGGTACAACTATCAGAGTCTAGAATAGAAATTGGCTTAAACCATGATTGAAAACCCTTTTTCAAACGAATTATGACACTTGAATCCTTGATTGGCAATCGCATTCTGGAAGTTGGCTCAGGCAGGACAAAACTTAGTTTAATTTGCATTCAAATTCAGTTCAAATTACATTAATTAAGTATAATTTCAAGAATCAAATACTTGACCATATTTACTGATTTTCCCTTTAAAATGTCAATTTGTCAGCTTTTTAAAGCCCTGAGATCATAGCTTACATATTCCTTGCTTACATGAATCAGCCACAGCAATCAGCTACAGAACAATTTTTTAAGTTGACAGAATAGCAGTATTTAAGATATAAAAGTGGTTGAAACTTTCACAAAGATATTACAATAAAATATTTATGACCTTGTGAAAAGACAGTTATAAAAAGTGGTCTACAAATACTTTTTTTTTAAAAAAAAAAAAAAAGAGGTATTCCACTATATCAGGCTTTTTAAGAGTATTAAGAAAACTATACAACATCTAAACTTTAAGGTGACTTTAAAATCTATTTTTCCACATGTTAACCCACATGTTTAAAAAAAATGCAAAGAAGAACACATAAAATCTCTGCATAGTTACCTGAGGGTCAATTTTTTGTTTGGTATAAACACCATTTGCTGCTGTGAAGATATCATTGAGCAAAACAGAAACATAGCCTTCCAAGCCGAAAGCTAAATCTGATCTGGAAAATAAAATATGGAAAGAGAGACTAATTTAAATAGCATAAATTTAAACAATAGCTTTCTTTGCAGTGGACATATTCTGTCTACTCTCCAAGTTGTATCCATATTACAAACAAGAGATAAATTTGTAAGAACTCTGGGGTAAAAAAAACCAATCTAGTCTTGTTTTACTCAGTAAACATACTGAGAAAATTCAAAGTTTACATAAAAGTCATGTGGTCATTTTATAAAATATATTATGTATAAGTTGGTTTGCCATTTAAAGTATATTTAGTGTGTGAGAATTTAATCAGACAACAATTACATCAACAGTAAAATATTTGATGGAGATGTTGAAATTACAGTGGGATAAGACATAGGACAACCTAATAGAGTAGGAATCTTACTATATGGAGCACAAACATACACATGAACATCAATAAATAATATTATAGCCTTTATAATATATAACAATAGCAATAGCATTTAGGTTTATATACCGTCCCATAGTGCTTTATAGCATTCTCTGGATGGTTTACAATGTAAGCATTATTTCCATATTGACCCTAAAAATCTGGGTCCTCATTTTACCAATCTTAAAGGATGGAAGGCTGAATCAGCCTTGAGCCCCATTGAACTCCAGGCTGTGGGCAGTTTGTCTGCAATACAGCACTTTAACCACTGTGCCACCAAGGCTATCTTTCATATTCAATTGCTTTCAAAATATACTTGTTCCATTTGGCAGGAAATTACTAGGAGCTGTAGTTCTCCCAGGCCTCTGCTATTAGTACTCCCCAATCTACCAGGACATTTTTATTACGCAATATAAAGCATGATTTATTGTGAGACCTTCAGTATAATTAACTCTGGACTCAGGCCATTGTGATTACAATCAGTGACTCCATCCTTTTCCTTCTGTGATGCACTAGAATAATTTCCCCAGTTGACTTCAAATTTTGAACTGCTGTACACAAGTCACATCAATTTATTTTGGATCATCTTTGTTTAAAAAATGTCAAAGGCATGTTAATTTTTGTGTTCTGCAGCACAGTCAACATCATCTGCAGATGATTTCCAGACCATTGTCATTGTTGATCTAGACCAGGGGTCCCCAACCCCTGTTCCGTGGACCGGCACCAGTCTGTGGCATGCCAGAAATTGGTCCACACAAACAAGCAAAGCCCTAAGCACAGGATGCAGGCAGTACATGAAACCACGCCCCCTCTGGTCCGTGGAAAATCTCTCTTCACGGAACCGGTCCCTGGTGCCCAAAAAGTTGGGGACTTCTGATCTAGACCACCTTTACCCATTTCATAGTTCTCTGAAAGTGCTATGATTACATCTCCCAGAACTTCCAGCTAATTGGCCAAACTAGCTGGGAACTCTGGGAGTTGAAACACCAACTATTTTTAGGGCACTAGGTTGGGGAAGGCTGCTACAGAAAACTGCAGTGTACAAATATTTTACAGTATCTACTCATTCATCCAAACACTGATCTACAAAGGAATATTATTTTTCACTGATGTTAAAAAACAAATATGGAGTACTAAAGGAAACTTTAAAATCTTACCCTGCTGCTATTAAGGCCCCCAAAATGATTGCAAACACACTGATTATAATGCTCAGGGGAAAGCGTTTCCTGTAAAAATAAATGATATCTCTCTAAATGTATATTCAAGAATTAAGACATTGAGATTCTAGAATGAGTGAGCCTTCTTTGTTTCACTTGATCCATAGGAGAACAAAATCGCCTTTTCATCCCAAAGGATTTGAACGAGCCTCTATATGTAGAAAGTCCCAATACAATTCTTGGTATATACGGAAAGAGTTGGAAAAGTTCTTTGTTCCAAAAAGAAAAAAAAGAAAAAAGGAATTCTTAATAAAGGATTAGACCAGGCATGTCAAACTGCCGGCCCGTGGTCTGAATGCGTCACACCAAAACCGTGCCCACCCCATTGCTGGCAATGGGAAAAAAGTCGCGATACATTGCACGACGTCATGTGACGTCGTGAGTTTGATATGCCTGGACTAGACAGTACAGAACTAGAGGGCCCAATCTGATATACAATAACTTCCTATAAATCCAACAGCTACCTATAAATCCAGCCTCATTCACTAACTAATTGGTCAGTCAAAATTAGTGTTCACTTTTATACCTTTCTAGAAATTAAGCAGTAATGTGGAACAACTTACTCCACAAATGCTGTCAAATTCTAAGAAGGGAAAAACACTGAGTTCAATAGAACTGATTCCCAGGGATTGAATCAAACACTCAGTTACCCAGAGGCAGCAGGCACTAAATAGATAATACAGCCTAGTAATCTCTGAACATTCTTGGGAGGATAAGCTGTTTTTAATATTTTTGAGAACAGAATATCTACATGGTTACAGGGAAAGTATTGGAGTTGCTAAAATGCAGCACAAAGAAAAAGACAGAAGAAGAAGACAACAAAGATTTTGTATTCAGAAGAAGAAAGAGGAGCAAGGGCAGGTTTACTAGATATTCTCTTCAGAAATATAAACAAGCACTGCAGTAGATGGTAGCAAAGACATAACAGAAAGCTCTTTGCTGCCCTCTAGGGGCCATCTGAATTTTGGCAAGCCAGAACTGGTAGGGCAGTGGTTCTCAACCTTTTTATACGGCGACCCCGGTCATAAGGACGCGGCGCGCATGCGCGGTGCCGCCCCATGCGCGGCAAGCATGTGTGGCACCGCCCGCTGAGGGAAAAAATGGCGGATCGTGTTGTTTGGCGACCCCCGTAAAATGGTCGTTCGACCCCAAATGGGATCGCGACCCACAGGTTGAGAACCGCTGTGGTAGGGTGAGGATAGGAAAGAGACAAAGTAGCTAAAAAGAAGGAAACAATGAAGGTAGCCAAACAGAAATCAGGAAAAGGGTGACTTAGGTGAAAAGCCAAAAGGAAGAGCCAAGAGAAAGAATGGGTTTGATCAAAATATCTCACTACAGGGAGTTAGGAAGAAAGGCATGAAGGAGAAGAGCTGCCTTGAAGCAAATGTTTGGCTTCAGATTTCTATTATTCATAGACAGGAAATTATGTGCCCAAATAATTTTAAGCAGTTCAAATTGTCTCTTCTAATTCTTATTAGTCAACAAAATACACTGGATCATTATGTGACCCGATAAACCATTGTGGTATTTCAGAAATGAGAGGCAAATACTTACCCAAGAATAATAATTTCCAGCAGTAATGTAAGAGGAATGGTAAACTTCCTCAGGACTGTAAACATTGGCAAGCTGTATTTAGAGAGAGAGAGAGAGAGAGAGAGAGAGAGAGAGAGAGAGAGAGAGAGAGAGAGAGAGAGACACTAGTTTGTGTCAGTGGCAAACTCCTTCATGACTCATTATGTATCTTCATACTTTCATCCTCAGCTTCAACTGACATTAAGAATGCCCCTAAATAAATTCTCAGTTGCAAAGCCAAATGTCAGTCTGACTCCAAAGAATGCTTAGACAGTAGAATAGTTGGAAGTAAGAATAATTAAAAAAAAGAACAACTTTGGCATCTGTCTCATACAATTTGTTTCCAGTAATTTCCTTTTAATTTAGTTAAAATTAGTTCTCAAGTAGTCAGTGATATGGTATTTTCCACGAATAGCTATCTAAATGCTGAGAATCAAGGCAAATATGGAAAAGATTTTGGTGAGCCAGGTCAGAAACTAATAAATAGTCTTCTCTAACCTGGACTGGAAGCCCCCAAGCTGGGAAGGACTCCTACACGATCACTAAAGTTGAGCTGCATAACCCTTTCCATATTAATACAGAAGAATGTCCCAGTATTACTGTATTATATTAATAGATAATTAGAAATTCACCGGGTGTCTAAGTCAAATGCAAATTCTAAATACTTATTCCTAGTTATGAAAAACCCAAAATAATCACACATGAGTACACTAGTGTGCTTCTTTCAGAAGAATGTGAAATGACCAGTGCATGCCCAAGACAAAGGCTAGCAACCTTTCCAGATATCTCCACACAGCTGCATGCAATGATGCAGACATCAAACAAATAACTGGCATAAGCTTGTGAGACCAGCAAATATGAGGGTAGCGTTATGTGTTAGAATCCTAAATGCCATATTACTGAGCTATACCCAAGAGCACTGCTTTAGGTATGCTTCCTAGATGTACTGATGGAGATTTGTGATTCACCTACATATCTGTTAAGCAATTGGATGAGACTGGAGTACCATTTCAAATAAAACGGTTACATGACATGCAATTATCTATTCAGGCAGCAGATTCCCCAAACAATGTATTCTAACTACCCCACCCAATTTTTCACACAATGAATGGCCCACTGTCTAATCAATGTCCATTTTCAATGTCCATTTTCAGCAGTCAAAGATGAAGAACATACCAGTCACCAAAAGGGGAGGAAGAAAATGCCAAAACACAAGGATAGAAAATAGAATGGCTAGTTGTAAAGTTTCTTTACAGATATTTGTTCCTAAGTCCAACACTTACTTTATAAACTGATTTTATACACTGGAATGTCCAAAGCAATTCTTTGGCAAGATGAGGATGCTTTTGTGCAAAAATATATTCCATTTTTAACAGTCTTGGAAAAACAACTGAAATTTACAAAGGGTTAAATACAAAGAAATTATCAGTTTAAGTTTACTACCTGGTCATTACTATACCTTAGCTTGCCTATGCTTGATAATCCACTTATATGGTTTCCAATATAAATCAGAGGAAGTGGAAACAACTGTAATAAAATAAATGCACCATTCAGATTATGCCATTTCACTCCACTTTGGAAGAAATCTGTTCAAATCAATTCATAAACCATATAATTCATAACACCAATAGAAACAGACAAATTAGCAGGCCTTATAAAGGAACATCACTTGTTAGTATCTGATTCTTTGCATGACCTTACTCCTGCTTATATCAATACAATTATACTTAACTTACAAAACAAAAATATTGGACCCATCATAATGACAATGAATGAACATACATAATGTTTTTCTCTAAGCATTTTCTACTATATGTGCAGATGAAGATTATCAGTTAGAAGTACATTTCTTTGTATTCACTTGGGATTAATAAATATAAAACCTGTTTAGATTCCTGGTGACTATATGGCTATGGCCATGATGGTTACTTGGTAACAGTATGGAAATTGTTTTCTACTTCCTTCATTCAGTTTATTTTTCCCAATTCCCAGTTTTGTCAATAGTCTTGTGATCTACTGGTGATCCTCATTCCAGCACTAACAAGTCCTGTATTGTTACTTGAGATAAACCAAGTTTAGCTAAGTGCTGCCACCTACTGAGAACTATGGAGTTTTCTAATAATTGCATGGTCATAAACATCTTGGTTGTGTAGGACTGATCTAGAATCAAAACCCCAAGAGCTGGAATATTAGATTAGCAGAGGGGTTTTTTTCAACCAATTTATCTGGAGACCCTACTTTAACCCAAGCCCCACAATCTGCACTATTTTATGGGTTTGATCTTTATTCAGAAACAATGATTATTGTGCAATTCACATAGGTGCATAAGTGTTAACAACTGATTTGTATGTTACTGGGTTCATTTTAAAAAGGACATGATGGAAAACAATAATAATCATGCATGGAAAGAATCTAGCAATTCTACCATGCAAATTCCCTGTAAGGGTAAAATGAGTGGCAATGACTCCTTAATGAAGATAATTTGCAAGTGCCTAAAAGCAAATATTGGATCAACCAAGGAGTAGGAAGATTGAGCGATTCACACTTGCTCTTTTAAGCTTTCAAGGACAAAACTTTACATACAACAAATGGTGTCTCCTTTGAAGCTTCAGTCGGTTAAATAATTACATGAACTTTCAACAAACAAAGAGATAACTATCTTGCAGTAGGAATGCATGTCCTGTGGTCTCTCCCACCTGGCAGACAAGTTTGGGATGGCAGCCTAGGCTGAGAAAGTGTGGGCAGTCCTTTCACTTAGCAAAAGCTGGCTCCTTTGCTGTCCAGCTGGCATCCCTTTTCTAGGGAAGATCCTTGTTTTGAGCCAAGAAAGGGAGCTGTTTCAAGGCCAGGCCCCTTTGAGGGGTCAGGGGAGTTTGGCAGACATGAACAAAGAAGGCCCACAGCTGTTTCTTTCACCCTTTGCTTTGTCTCAGCTTATGTTCATCTCTCCATCTTCCTTTTCCTCTCACTCCAAAAGGGCCCCCATTCCATTCTCAGACTTTAAATTCTTACATTCTGCCTGCAAATACTTAATCCTTGGTGATGAGGGTTACTTCCAAAAATGCTAGAGTTTTCCCTTCACCATAAAATGTGTGCAATGTTTATGATGCATATTTAAAAGGGGTGGGGCTTTAACCCATTGATTGGGCCTGTCCCTTAATTTTTCCCCCATTGGGATATTTTAAGGCAGGGCTTTTCAACCGGTGGTACGTGTACCACTTGTGGTACATTAATGAGTGGCAGGTGGTATGCAGCCCTGCCTAGCCAAGTGTAGTGGGGGAGGGAAAGAGCCAGCACAGGCAAGGACTTGCAGTGAGAGAGTCTTCTGGAGCTGCAAAGGCCCCAGGCTCACTTCTGGCTCACTCTCCCCCATGAGAAAGGAGGAGGGGGGCAGAGACAGGAGAGCCTATAAAAGGAGGCAGTTTGGACAGGAGAGAGAGAGAGAGAAAAAAAGCAGCAGCCTTGGGAGGAGGCAGAGTTAGGAGAAGAAGGAGGGGGAGGGTGGGGGGAGAGGAGATCAAGCAGGCTGGACATGAGCCGATCTACAACTGCTGTGGCAGCCACCTGTGCTGGCAGCAGCAAACAGGCAAGAAATGCAGCGGGGGAGGGGTCACCCTCCAAGAGGAATGAAAAAAGGCAGCAATGGCTGGAGGTGAGACATGAAGGAGGGAAGGAGATGGAGAGTGGAAGGAGATGGAGAGTGGAAGGATTCTTATGTGCTTTTGTGACTTTGAAGTTCTGGGATTTGTGCAATGAGGGCTTTGTGTTCTTAAGGACTGTTTGGCAATTTCTATTTGGCTGATGGCTGATATCTCGTGTTAGCTTCTATTGCTCTGCTGTTGTTAGCTGTAGGTTTTGCTGAAAGGGATTTTGAAATATTTGTCTCCTGAATGGATTTTGCCTGTAGCATTCCTTTACTTGTGAATGGAGCCATTTGGGGAGGTTGCCTTAGCTGGCAGCCAGTACTTACATTTTTTTTTTCTTCCTTAAGTGCCGGCTGCACTCCTTATCTTCCTTTCGAGCCAGTAGCTAATTCTTAAAGGAGAATGTGCCTTTTTAAGCTAGTTCACTCAGCAGCTTGTCTTTTCTGTCTCTGGAGGCCTTTCCTTGTTTGATCAATATATGGAAGATGGAAAATATGGGGGGGGGGTCAAATTCTTCCTTCAGAAGGAGATGGGAATGAGAAAAAGGGAGGCAGGGAAGGGAGGGAGGAAAGGAAGTCCCGCCTTAGCACTTGGCCACCAGCAGCTCTGCCATTGACTTTGCTTGTCAAAAAGTTGCAGAAGGGGATCACATGACACTGTGACCATTATAAATATAAATCAGTTGCCAAGCATCCAAATATAAATCACATGACCTTGGGCATGCTGCAATGGTCATAAGTGTGAAAAATGGTCATAAGTCATTTCAGTGCAATTGCAACTTTGAACAGGTTTTTTTTTGGTCATCAAGTTTTTGACACCTTGCTAGGTGGTACTTGAATATTGCCATATCCTAAAAGTGGTACAATCAGTAAAAAGGTTGAAAAGCCCTGTTTTAAGGGGCACAAAGGGTGCCAAAAACATCTCTTAATTGGATCTGGATCACTTGTATGCGCCAACAGAATTTAGGAACATTTTTTTCATGGTAATATTACAACCCATGCAAGGAGTTAAGTCATTCTTACCTTTTTAGGGATGCTTTTGTCAAGATCAGGAAAATGAATGATTTTATTTAATTTTGACACATATAAGATGAGAATAGTGGTTACCATCTAAAAGGGAGAGAAAACAATCACATACAGCAGCAAAATAAAATTTCCATATGCAGCTGGGGTAGACTATAGATACTGCTGTTTTGAAGAAGACTTGTTTGATTTGTTTTTAATAACCCCACAGGTTTGCAAACTACACCAATGGACACAGAACTCCAGTTTGATCTGATGGATGTTTTCATACATTTTTGTGCTCTCCTTCAACTGTGAAGATTTCCAAAAAATTAGAGCATGCTTAAAAATGTTAATCCTAAAGTAGCATTGTTTACAAAAATAAAGAAAAATCCCCTCTCCCCAGAAAAATCTTGACCCTGCTCACTTTGTATCATGATGCCTATCTGTGTCTCTGAGATTCCAAAACACTAATATAGTTTCAGTCACCAGAACATGACCCATCCCTGTTACAACCTTACTTTATAAAAACCTCTTGAGATGGGCTTTAATAAAGAGAATTCTCTCAAGAGGAAGAAAATCATCTGCATTTCATCTTTCAACCACTGGAAAACCTATATTTGTAAATTGGAATATTTACCATTTAATCTCTTTTATCTATGAACATACCTGTCCTACTCCAAGAAACATTGGAGATGGGAATCTAGAAAGAAAATAAAAGTGACACTTATTTATGCATGCACATATCTGTGTGTGTCTGTGTGATTCTATTGTATATTTCAGTTTAGAAAGAAAGGTCATATATATGCAAACATACACGAATCAGAAGCTATCAAAATTTAAATTGTTAAAACTCTGCAACTTGTTTAAACAAAGAAATATTGGCTATCCAATGCAATACAGTCATGTATGGATTATTTGTATGCAGTTGCAATCTACAATGTGTATTTTGGAAGAAAATCAAGCCTATATTTCCAATTACACAAAATAATAGAGCAGGGGTATCCAACATTGGCAACTTTAAGACTTGTGGACTGGGAAATTCTGAGAGTTGAAGTCCACAGGTCTTAAAGTTGCCAGAGCTGGACACATCTGTAACAGAGTAACAAAATAATAAAGAGTGTATTTAAAAAAGCTATGGATATCAAGGGTATAAAAGACCATATAATAAAAACAGCCAGGACAATTCAGAAATAAGAAACCTGCAAGTGAAGCATCAGGCTATAAAGTGGCAAGTGTTCCCTAACAATCATGACAGAAACCCAATAACATGAATGTTTGCTGCTTATCAATTCTAGGAGTCTTCTTCTGCAAAGAAGCTACTCTTTTCTGTTCTATGCATGTGCCATTTGATAGACTTATTTCCTTATGCCAATCTGTTTCATTAAAAGCCTGCAGGCTCCATCTGCTGGGGCTAGAGTTAATATCACATTGCTTATCCAACCGTACTGGCTTCACGAGCCCTCCCACAGCACAATATACAATCTTGTATAGGATCCTGACTTGTCTGGAAATATGGCCTGGCTTGTAAGGGACTTGATCTTTGTCCATATGGAGTCCTGCTATCCACTCATCTCTGCTGCCAAACCTGAGGTCCTTATTCACCTGAGCTAGTTATTATCAGTTTTTTGCTGAATCCTTGCTGCAGGTGCAAGGTTTAGACTCTTAATGTGGATAGTAAATTTGGGGGGGGGTCAACGTATTTGAAATGTATTCATACAAAATAGCCATGTTCACACATCATACCGGTAAGTCATAAATCATGAATTACAACTGTCAACAATTACAGCAAATTCATGAGTTGTGGTAAGCCATCAAAATAGAAGATCTGGACACAAAATCTGGATACCAGATTAACTGCTAGATGGCCACAAAAAGTTAGAAGTATTTCTGGAGCTGGAAGTCCATGCACATACATAGTTTGGTGTGATGCACCCATATCAGCCTGCAAAATTATGACTCCAAAGATTTCTCTCTACTAGCCAAAATGCTTTTGTTTGGAGAAAAGCTGCTTTGTTTGTACATCGAGATATTTTTATTTGTCCACTGTCATTTAGCTGCTATAGCCTCGGTGTACAAATTCTCATCTTTATAATTATAATTAATTTTCAAATATACAACACAAATTACTTTCCTTCTCCTGGTTGATCACAGGACTCTGGGCCTGCATCTGAGATCTCAGCTATCCCACTGGAATTTATGTAATGGGAATTTCCTGGGAAAGATCTTGCCTCTAGGTTACAATAATAATATTGTAGACTGGTAATAAAATGGATTAATGTTTAATTTATTGATCTAATAAAATAA